CATGAATGAAAAAATCGCTTCATACGGTTACCGCTATTGCATTTTTGATCCAGATAAAAGTACCTTCGAAACACAAAAGTTAACTGGATAGCAGGAATAATCACGAATTGCCTAAACTGATATGATATGGCATAAGGATACGCGAACGAACCGTAATCGTCATTTTTGAAGGATTTGAAGAGCTAAAGCTGATTAAAGAATCAGAGAGAAAACATTTTATCCGGAAAGAGCGTGCAGCCAGCATTCAGCGTTTTATTTAACAGAATGTCCATTGGGCAAAACCTATTTGCAAAAGAAATTGCCAAAAAATCACCGAGAAGAAGTATTCAGTCTCTTCCCTCTCTACGCCAATAACGAGAATGGACAAAAGACAAAAAGATAAAAGCTAACACGACGTAGATTCGAGCGCATATTATGAACGTACATCAAATCACAACATTGCTATGGGGTAAACACCCACATTAACGCTTATAATAAACGAGTCACTACGATGAGGTATGCATTTGTCAGAAAATTAACAGAAGAGTATAATCGACGCACCAAGTCCTGTGAGAATCGTGGCTCCAATCAACATGACAATGCACTGTACGAGATCCGTGTATAAAACGGCGGCCAGACCACCTACATATGAGGCATTATAAAATCACTACAAGTCTTATAAGAAAATATAAGTGGCCATCTGGCAAGGCAAAATAAGTTCATAGGTTTAACGGACATGGTACTTAGATATTTAAAATTATAGTGACTTGCCTGTGAGCGTAATAACAGCGGTCAGCAGGAGCAGAAACAAAATGGAATACCAAATATTCCATCCAAGAGCTTCGTTTACAAATAAGGCACCGGAGTACAAATTAACCTAAGCGATTTAAAAAATCATCGATCGAGGAATGCGTTACAAGATATCCATAATTAATGAAAAAGTGTGCTCGTATTTGCGGGTAAAAGCGAATTTGTAGAAACGTCGATGAGCAATGTAGTTCGGAACGGTCAGTCACTTATGCAAACTTACAGATATCTTTGTGAATATATATAAAATAAGGGATAAAATCGTCAAATATAGTTGGATCCTCATTCCACCGAAACGCCGTTTCATATATTCCGGTAGCGTAACCGATCGACTTGCCAAATATACCGGTAAAAACACCCAGCCAAGGAGTTGAAGGAGCACTGCGGCCTTGGTCAAACATAAAGTGTGAAAAAAACATGAGACAAAAGTCAACGCTTTAAAATCTGGAATTTCGAAAATATACCGACAAAACTCCTAGGAAAGTGTGATCAAGTTCGTAAATATTGTATAAAAAATGTGTGGAATGACGCTAACAGAAATTCATGAGGACGCTTTTAGTGATCAAATACATATGAAATTATTAAAGACTGATACTAAAAACAGCAGTTCCAGCCAGATGTACTAGTTCTCATAGTAATTTGACAGGATAAGATTATGAATGACCCTTTTAGATGTTTCCTTCCTACAAAGGTGTCACAAACTCAAATGACTCACATTGAACTCAAACGCAGCTACAGCGATCCCATTTGCAGCTCCAGCACCGGCAAGTCCAATAAAATGTTCGCTTCCAATATTACTAGCAAAAAGCGATGCACCAACCTAGAACTTTAGACAACAAGTAATAGCAAACCGGAAGCCATGTCATAAAACGGCCAGCCAGAAAATAACCGTTGACTGAACTTCTGTTGGCCCGGAACATAGCCTGCAGAGAACACAAAGAAAAAGCGTCTCTTGAATTAAAAGACGATCGATGTTCTTAATGGGTGTAGCTGCTGCAATGATGCAACGCCTTCATGCCAATAAATTGTATAAATGATACAGAGTAAATGAAAAATAATTAAAATTTATCACGTACATAAATGCCAGCACCGAAAATTCCCAGAAAGTATAACACTAAGACGCCAATATCGAGGCCTTCGATACGAATTTTATCCATCGCTCCACAAAATGCAACTCGTGAGATGCCACACTATCTTCGAACCTGAGCACACTTGAAGTAGACTGTTTGGGATTTTCTTAGTACATGTAAACAAACACCACTAAGCCTTCTTGATAATAATATATTGGCAGCTTAAACAGGGTTGTTTTCTTGTACTTAATTATTCATCAAGAATTCACCCCTGATTTCCTGTCATCCTTTTCTGATGGTAAAATCTTCAGTTGCTCAACCTTTCGACGCTACGTCGTAAGATTTCCTCAGTTTATCTTGTGACAGTATATGCCATTTTGAAGAAAGGAAAGGTTTTTTTGAAAAAAAATGGATCTTACTAATGAAATTTTAGCTTGGTGACACCACCTTTCGGTAAGCTGAAGGAAGAGAAAGAAGAAATTCAGACTGCCACACTAGACCAGTCGGCGCAACAGGGCAGAAATTGACAGGCGGACAACTAACGAGTGTGAAAGGCGCGAAGACTGAGTTTAACTATAGGTTATTGAGCGAGGGAGGAGAGTAAGGCGGAACAGTAACGGCCCCTGTGCTCAAGGGGGAGTGAGCATGGATGGAAATTGTGGCGGCTGACGACTGGATTAGCGGTCGCTGATGTCCTATGGGGCAGAGCTCAGTGAACCACTGCCTCAAGCTCTAATAACGGTTGGTTAGATCAATATGACAATTGATGCTGTCCGCACTGATGTGCCAGATCGTTTTTTAAGATACTCTTCTTTCAGATTACATCTACTCAGGATGCATAATATCTCTGAGGAAAGAGGAGTTCTCACAGGATACAGGAACTTGCTTGGCTGAGGTTTCGAAGTGCTTGCGCAGTTCATCATTATCAAAGCGTACAGTGTAAAAATCGTTTATAATTTTGGATACACGGACGAATTACTTGGCCCTGGGCTGATCGACTTTTTTCTTCTTTTGCTGCCTTGGCCTACTGGCCTCCTGTGTTTTGTGTCGTCACCTCAACTGGGGTTAGCTGCGTTTGTGTCCCTATTTTGGGTAAATTGGTCGACAGAACGTGTTTGCTTAGTATTCTTAAGCTCCGTATGACTGCGTATGTAGTGACGTAGGACTTTATAGGCCGAAGGAAGGTCTAGGTGCCTGTTGATGAAGTTGACATCTGAATTACAGGCTTCCAGTTTGAGACTTTCTGTCCTTGAGGTGCCCCGGCCTAAGGTGGCTGCTCCTTCAAAGTCAAAACTGTGGCCACTTTCTTCAAGCTGAGTCACAAGCTATGAGTTTGTGTCTAGTCTCCGAGTTGCAAGTTTGTGTTAATATAGGGGGGTCTGCAATTTTCGTCCGGTTTCCCCGACCTACTTACGGTATTCATTGTTACAACCTATTTGATAGACAACTACTGAGGTTTCGGTGGGTGGCGGTATGTGCTTGGATTGCATCAAAAGGCGACGAATTGTTGCTTGGGTCGATGGGCAATGCCTACCCTGGCGGGTTTTACCAGTCGTGAAGCCGCCTCGGGGACTCCATTATTGAAAGGAATAGCTCTCCAGACTTCGGGTTGTTCTTCTTGTGGCCGTCGTCTGTTGACTCGGCGCTAGCTTTGCTTGCTAAAGTAACTTGGGTATCAATTGGTTCGAAAGAGGTCACGAATGTGTTGTCGTTTAACTCTTATGTCGGCTGGTGTGATGCAGTGTATTTCAACCCTTTGGAATAGAGTACGGACACAGCTGCGTTTGTGAGAGAGGGTGATTGCTGTAGAAGTGTAGTATTTGTCTCGTGTTGGTGGTTTTTCTGAAAACGGTAGTTTGAAATTGCCTAGTTGCACACTGACGCACAAGGAAATGGAGGAAGGGAAGTTGGTTGTTTGTTTCAGCTTCCACCGTGGATTGGATATTCAAACCAGCCGAGTCCAGCAATTCTTTATTTGGTACTCGTCAGATTATTTGGCAGTGGCGAAAGCGTCATCGACGTAACGACCCCAGAATTTTGGTTTATACTTGGTGAACACCAAGTGTTCTATCCATTGAAGGACCACACCAGCAGCCAGTCCTGATATTGGGGAGCCTACAGCTATACCTTTGATTTGTTTATACATTTGTCCACCAAAGGCGAAATATATTTTTTGGCAATACCGTAAGAGCTTCATGAGATGTTCGGTCTTCAGGGGGTTGCCTCTGCGTTCCATAACATACGAGCGTTTCTAATATTGAAAAATTCAGTCCGAGTTCATTACTTTAGTCAGCTACATATCCAGCATCTGAGGGCTCCATTTTGCACGGCACGAGTAAAAGCAATAATTAGGTATTTGTGGACATCAGACCAGATTAGTTTCCGGGAGATAAATGATCCGTGTGTCCCTACCTTTGTATATCTGCCTGCATAAATGCGCTTACCACCTGAGCTTATTCGGTAACAGGTGCACCCAAGACCATGGCATTCACTGTAATACAAAGAGGCCGAGCATAAATTACGCACCCGGAAATTCTCCCATCCAAATAAATAAATTAATTGTTTTATCTCTTACCCTAAGGGTGCTGTCATAGTAGGCTAAAGTAAATTTTAGAGCGAATTTTAGGACCAGCAGGCAGACTCTGTGCAGTGTTCAGTTCATGCATGTAAAATAGGCAGTCTGACTCGAAAACTGTTAGCGGATACTGAAAAAACTCCCTCGATTTTTTGACAAGACAGAATGAATGAATGAATGAGGAAGTGTTACGTTCAAGCCGTTGGTTTCAAGTTTGGATATAAGTGGGAAATATTACTTTGAGCGGCTTTTCTGAGGGACACAAGGACTTTCGGCCTTTGTTTTTTAATTAAATTTTTATAAATGCAGGCCTGTTCTTTTAGAATTTTCGTCTTCACTTTTCTTTTGAGTTTTGACAGTCTGTGCCTGCTGACTACCAGTTGCATTCTGCAATATGCATTTTGGGCATTCGGTTTCTCTTTAAAAGGGTAATTTTATTACACCGTTAACCTCTCGCTGAGACTCGGCCAGCCGATCTCGCAGAAGTTTAATTAACTGATACTCGCCTGGAGGCTGGGTGAAAGGAAAAATCATCGACCGGTGGGACCCCACAGCCCCTGCACCTAAGCATGGTTAAACTAAATCTCAGTCAGAAGACACTGCTAGCCATTCGTCACCTGTTGTTACTGATAGGCATCTCAATCTGCCTGCAGTTTACCACGGCAAAGACGGTATGCCAATCTTTGGCCCTATGCTCTCACTTCTGGGCAAATTGTTCGACGGCAACTTATCCGATGTTCCTACTAAGTAATGCAAACCTCTTGACTCACGCGTTCACCTGATCGCCAGTGGATCTAGTGATAGAAAAAAAGCTTTCAAATTCTTGCTGAAAAATGTTCCTTGATCTTCATGGCCAGTTGATGTTGCGGTTGATTTCCTGCAGATTTCGTGCAGATTCAAATACGAAATAGCTGATGCCAAACGCCCGTCTTCCCATAGCACGAAATCCATCCGTTTCATTTAAGCTGTTTTCACCAAATGAGGTTCATTCAACATTTGCCCACCGAGATCGTGTTTCTGCGTATCCAGAAAGCGCGAAACTTCTCCTTCACCGTGATTTTACCCACATAGGGCGTAGAATTGGGTCACTTTTCTCACACGAACCCTCATTTTCTCAGTTCATTGCTTGCCTAATCGGTCATAATACAATGAAGGGGTAAGGATTCAGCTTGTCCTACTCCTGCGGCATCTGACTTCCTCCTTCCCCTTACTTTTACATCTCCATCTCACTCAAGCCACTTGACGCATTTGCCTGCTCCTAAACTTGCAGCAGCAGCAGCAGCAGCAGCAGCAGCAGCAGCAGCAGCAGCAGCAGCAGCAGCAGCAGCAGCAGCAGCAGCAGCAGCAGCAGCAGCCTAATTTGTCGTTTCGTATCTGCCGGATAGCCCCGTTGGGACACATGAAAGTCTGTCTACATCAGCTAGACCGATAAATTACCCTGTCCAACTGCGTGTTGCAAGCTCTACAGTTAAGTCACCCGTGGCTTGGCGTCTGAACGGTGAGATTCCAAAAGTGAATCAGATTCCGACCCAAAGAAAGGTAGTACAGTTCCATTTAGGGGTACGATGCCTTCTCTTAGATCTAACAGGTCTGTCCAGCCCAGCTCGTCTACAAACCCCGCAGCTCCAATTATATCCCCAATTATATCCTGCGTACCGGTTACTTATCAGAGTCCTAATATATATCCAGCAAATAATTCATACATGAATTGCCCTAAGTCATTTATGCCCAACCTAGTTCAGGATTCCCACTTAAGGCCAATTGCTCTCAGGTACGTCAACCTACCCCCTTTGACATCCAACCTAGACCTGGTTTCCCACCCTCTTATACATATAGCTGCCTACCCTCCCCCACTAGCCTGTACCTTCCTTCTAGGCTCCCTCCTCCTCCTCCTCCGCCTCCTCCCCTTCCTCCACAAATTAACTACCAACAAGTCTATCCATGTTCCAACTCCCCTAGCATTCCAATGTTCGAAAACTATATCCCCACATCCTTTAGGTCACATACTCAGCCTTCTCTTTCTGACTCCACGTACGTCAATAACTCTAGACTAACTGGTACTTATTCTCCAAGTGTCATAAATTCACAGCTTACATATCCGCCTCACAATTTTTTTAAATACCGTCGAAAATAGCATTGCCGTTCGAAACACATTAGATATTATATTATTGAATGCCAGGTCTGTTATAAACAAGATGGCCCAAATCAGAGCCATTGCTCTGGAAATGACGCCCGATATTATATGTGTAACAGAATCCTGGACACATTCTCTAATTCCTGACTCTGCCCTTCTCATAGATGATTTCGATTTTTACCGCCAAGACCGCACGACTAGGCGTGGGGGTGGTTGTCTTCTTTATCTTAAATCCTACCTAAAGCACTCTCC